AAATGAAAACCAAGAAAACGCTTTACTAGCAAACTAATTGTACGCTAACAGGCTAGCTTGGAATGTTTACTAAAATGTTCTTTATTTTATTTATTTATTTATTTTTTGTAAGTACATAAATTGTGTGTTTTATTTTATTTCAAATATTTGAATTTCAGAATGATATAAAGAATTAAATTTTAAAAACATATTAGTTTTTTTTTTTTTAATTTTAAGATTTACGAATTATAAATCTTTAAAAAAATCTGGAAAAAAAATGTGTCATAAAATTTGCGAATTTCAGATTTTTCTGGCAAAGAGACTGAATGTTATCAATTATTATTAATCATTACAACTTATAAAAATCAAATTAAAAAAGAACAAATTATGTACAGCTGCAATAAACAAGCACCGCAGTTCACTAGAGGGCGTGGATATAGAGTACAAACTAGTTACTAGACCAGTGATGTCAACGTTCACCGTGACGTCCGTTTGGTCGAGTGATTGATCTTTCTGCCTTTATATCTATGGGAGAGTCATAGGAGGAGAAGTAAGTAAGTTAAAGTACTTTTTTGTCTTGATTTTAAAATAGAATAAAAACTTTTAAGTTAAAAAACTGCATGGAACTGAAAGCCACGTTGAACACAGTTCTAAAAGTAAGCATCTTGGACAGTTAAAAAAATATTTTTCGACCATTAAATCCGAAATATATTAAGAAAGGGGAAAATATCCCAGTGTATTCTTACACAACTAAGAAGAAGTTTATTTATTTATTTATTTATTTTATTGAAATTACATACATTTGCTGACTTGTGTGCTCAATATAGGCTTATAAGTCATTGTCAAGTAGAAAATACAGATAGAACAATTCAGAGAAAGACATCACAAAGAATACATCCAGGGTTACGGCGGGATTCGAACCCGCTACCTCCACGCTTAACAGAGCGTTTGGACCGACGATACCGCTCGGCCAGGGAGGCCCCCTAAGAAAAAGAGGAGAAGGAACGGGAAAAGGTCAAGACATGGAACCGGTCTTCTCCCCAGATGGCGTATTCGAGCGCTGCGATCGCGAATTAATACATTAATTTTTTAAAGAACTTACTCGACTAATATATTTTAAATTTTAACTTACAAATTGTACGTTAAATGTAAAAGCACCAACAGATGCAGATGCTCAAAAGTCTTCCCGAATGTGCTTGCCGTGTCAATGCGATTGATCTCGAAATTGGTTGGCTGTTAAGACAGTATGCACGTTGATTTCAAGAGAACAGAGATAGTTAATCGGAAGTTTAAAAATTTCCCGAATCTGTTGCATCCCGAAACTAAAAACGGTAAAAATTAAAAATCAACGAGGTAAAAGTGTTTAAAGAAAAATTGAAAGTACGTTTTCGTTATCATGTGATATTGTGTAGTAATATTTTTTGTGTTTAGATTTTTAGCTGACTTAGAATTATTTCTTTCTATTTTTAAGCAGTTAGTGTTCATTGGAAACAAAAAAGTTTTTGAACTATTGATTACGCAACAGGGAGTGGATAACCTGGTTAACCTTTCGAACTCTGTAGAAGACCATTGATTGCCTTAAACTGCTGTCTTCATTTGCTTATAATTTTTAACTTTTTAAGTTCAAATTGTTTTCCCGTGAAAGTACTTATAATTACTAAATTATATTTTTGATTTTTAATAAATTTTTCCTCGTTTAAGATTGTTCCTTGGGATAATCAGTACTCTTAACTTTTAGTTGTTAATTGCTCCTGCTGCATTCTATTCTACATATTTTAGAAATGAAAATGGTTTTAGTTTTCATACTATTAGATAACTCAATTTTATTGATTTAAAAAATTCAAAACCATATATTAAAACATGCGACATAGGTTTCATACCCTCTTCATAGTTTTTTATTTCATTTTCCCCCTAATAGTGATATCTAAAATTGCTCTTCAATTTAAATAATACACTATACTATATTAAACTAAATATTTTATGTACCTCTGTTAAAAAGTATTATGCTACATATTTTTTTATGTAAAAAAATAGTAATAAATAGCATAAATGTTTAAAAAATTTTAAGTTTGGAAAATATTGTTATTTTTTACTTTATGGTAATAAAGTTTTAATTCATACAATCAAATTTTTTTAACTCTTTAATAAATGCAAGAGTAATTAAAATAAAATTTAAGATTTTACTTCATAAATTAGACAAATTACAGTGTTCTCGCTAAGTGTTTTTAGAAGGACGGTCATCCCTGCCAGCTCTTTGATCCAATCCCTGTAAATGCATCCTTTTTGTAAAAATAAGCCCCCATCCCCTAAAATCATGGCCTTTTTAGTTGTATTCCTTTTTTTAAAAAGCTAATTCATTGTTTGAATAATAATTCAAAACAGTTAAATTTGTCTGTGTTTAAAGGTTTAATTCTAATTATTATGACAAACATTTGCTTCGTTAGGATTATTCTTAACTTGTTAAATTTTTATAAGCATCTCTTTTTTCAAGGAGGGAATATTAATAATTTTTGAAATTTTCAGAGTAACTTTTTAACAAAAATAAATAAATATATGCAACTTTAAAGGTTCATTTTCTCATAATTTTCAGTTCAAATTTGATGAAAATCTTTCAAGTTGTTTATAAGTTAATAATTTTTTTTTTTTGTTTACTTTCTTGAAAAAAAATTTTATGTCCAGAAGTTATCTTTAGCATGCCTTTAATTATTTTCATAAACTACAAATTTTTCTCTTATTCTGATTATTAGAGAATTATTTATTGAATTATACATATAAAATAGTATAAGAGGGTAATTTAAAAATTGTTGAGATCAAATTCAGTTATTACATATTATGCATTTTGAAAATTTTTTACAGTGTTGAATGACTGTTGTTTCAAAACTTATAGTGCTCTTTTTTGAGAGGCTGTACCCTGCTCTTTTTTATTTCTAGGGAGAACTCTGAAATTATATTCATGTGATGGACATATTTAAACTCATTTTCCTTAAAGTGTATACAATATACTATACCTATATATGCATCCCTTTTATTATTTGCAATTTATGATACTGCTTTGTACAGAGTACAAAATAAAAATAACACCTAAATAAGTTTTGATCTAATGATAAGATTTTTCATATACTGATTTGTTGTTTTAAGTGTTTGAAAGATTCTTAAAATATGGTATTGAATTTGTGAAGACAATATTTTAAATGATAATATTAAAAATGAAATATTACAACCTGCTTTCTATGAAAAACCTACCTTATTTTTTTGTGTTTTGATTCTTTACTAATACTTTACCGTCATAAATAATTTAAAATGATCTTTAAATGGTTTTATAATTGGACATGATTTTTTGATTCTCATAAGTAGTTTTAGAAATAGAGTGAAAAATGCTAAAAACAAAAGTTATAGGTCTACATTTTTCTTCTGTCTCAACTAGTAAAACAGCATTTTCCCGATTTGAATTATAACTACTCACCATATTTTGAAATTTTAGGGTCAGTAATTCAAATCTATTAAAAAAGAAAATTATATTTAATCATAGAAAGTATGTTTTGTGTGTGATTTCATTGCTGACAATATCATTTACTGAAACTAAATAGCATAGTTAAGTTTAATCTCTTAAAGCATTTAGTGGCCATCTAATACATGAAATTTAAAATCTTTAGAAAGTTATTAAAGTGTTAAGTTTAATATTTTACGCTCTGTTCTTTATGTGATCTATTAATTAACGTTTTGTTAACTTTTCTTCTAGGCATGGAAAAATATACACCTATAGCTGGAGCAATCCTTCTTCCTAATCTTGGGGGCATACTAACTGCTTTTACGACTCGTAAGGATGTGAAAACTTGGTATGAAGTAAGTTAAAATTATTCTAATTGATAAAAAATTAAAATTTCATTTGATGAACGAGAATAATTAGAGATTAGTGTTAATCAACAATATTATTTTATATTTTTAATGTAATAAAATATTATTTATAAAATGAAACAAATTTATGTATAAATATTTATATAATTTATATATTTTGCGAGGACAACTCTTATTTTTTTTTTCCATGTCTATAGACTCATGGCTATTTAAACTATCAAATACCTTATTTTTTATTATATATAAAACTGCTTATTTATATATATATTTATATATATATATATGTATTTGTCTCTTTTTTCAATCAATACAAAATATATAATTTGAATGTTATCAGAAATATTTTTCTAAATTGCGCTATCATATTCAATGCATCCAAAAAAGCTGTAGGAAATAACTTTACTGAAATTTCCGCCGGCGAAAAGTTTCTGTCTTCTTTTTTTTTCTTCCAAGTTTTGTACTGCTTACTTTCATTTTTAAAACTAAAGTAATCAAGTTACGTTTGTTACTTCTTTAGTAATAAGGTAAAGCCTGAAGAAAATTTTAAAATAATTTTTTCAAAAATATCTAAAACTTGCGTCCGCACTTTTTCTTGAACTTACTTTTTCTTTTTCTAAAACTAGAGAACTTTTTTTTTTATCATGGGTAATGAAGATGAGAAGTCCCGAAGAAATTTTCTGACTCTTTATTAATCAACAAGTACTTCGTAAAAAAATTTTAAAATTTTGAACCAAGTTTTATTTTTTTGTTTGAAACTTGAGGTCCTTGCACAAAAATAAAGTTCACCATGCTTGATTTATAGTACATAAAATATCAGAAGTTTAAACAATTAAAAATTGCTGAATTTTAATAAATTTTAGTCACATGAAAGATAACTTTTACATTAATGGTAGCTATATATTTTAGTTGAAAAATTTGATGCAGAAATAGCATAGTTTACTAGCCTATTCAATTGTTATTGGAATATCTTAAAAAAGCTTTAGTTAAATTTAAGTATTGAAGCATTTTTTTTACTCAATAAAAAGTTATTTGTCTTTGAAAAACTTGTTCCATATATTCAGTATCAGTTTATTATTACCACTAATTTCATTTTTTACTTTCCTTTATATTTTAGACTCTGAAGCACCCATCTTGGAGAGTTCCAAATTATGTATTTGCACCAATGTGGACTACATTATATAGTGGAATGGGATATGCTTCATACTTAGTTTGGAAGGAAGGTGGTGGATTTAATGGGGAAGCTAAACTACCTCTGATACTATATGGTTCAAACCTTGCTTTGAATTTGGCATGGCCCCAAATATTTTTTAAATTTCATAAAAAAGGATTGGTAAGAGCAAATTTAATTTTAAAGTTTTTCTCTCTATATTAAATGATATGATTTGTTAGCTTTACCCCAGTGATATTCTGAATTTATTGATTGTTAATGACCTTTTGTTGTTGATGTTTTATAACCTTTTAAAGATTGTTACTTCTATTTTTTGTTTTACAAAATATATTTTCATCATGAAAAATAATCAACTTTTTATGAATTTCCAGAAAGTTATATTTTCTCAAAGAGGCCATTCTGGAGACGGAATTCCATCTTGTTAAAAATATCATAATTCCAAGAATTCAATTTAAAAAAAAAAAAAAAAAAAATCGCAAAAAGGCTTTTATTTTTTTTTTCTTGCAGTAATTACTTCAGGAATAAAAAATTTTCCATTTATTTATTTCTAGAATTTTTAATTAAATTATTTACTGAAGCACAAATGAGGTGATAAGTCACGAAATAAGGTAAAGTCAAGTAGTGAAACAATAGCGAATTGGCTTTTCATTTTCATTGTGAAGCATAAGATAAATTCTTTCTACGGAGAAATGCTGAATCTGGCATCGACCAAGAGAACAAATTTTGTTATCTGCTTAATGGGAAGTTAAATCTGGCTTTGATTGGTGGATCATGAATTGTTTACTTTGCGTCATATATTTTCAGTAACTTTGTTAACATTATACCATATGTTAAAGTTTGTTATTTTTACAATGGAATATATTGGAGCCGTGGTGGCTTGTGGGATAGAGTGCTTGCCTCTCAATGAGATGAACTGGGTTCGAATCCCAGCAATGACTGAATTCCGCACCAGGCTCGCACCGACCCACAGTGCTGGCGTAAAATATCTTCAGTGGTAGACGGATCATGGGTTAGAGTCCCCTTCTTTTCAAGATTACCCTGAGAGGTTCTCATGGTTTTCCTCTCCATGTAATGCAAATGAGGGTTAATTCCATCAAATAGTTCTCCATAAAGAAAAATTTCACTCAATACTTGATCCAGGAGTTCCATTGACTTCTGGATTGGGCTCAAAATTACAAGGCTACAGAGTTGACATTAGTAGTCATAAACTCAAAATTGGGGTTGACTGTTCAATAACAGTTATAAAATAAAATAAATTGGAATATATTGACTCTGATAAACCAACATACAATTTTGGAGTAAAAAAAAAATGTGATGAGAATGGCTCTTAGAAAAAGGTTCAGTTAGCAACAGTAACTCGATAAGGTAACAACAGCCCATCTAGGATCAAAGAAAGAAAGTATTGCTTCTTCCAGAGAGATTTTTTTCTTCCTTTTTGACAATGGGAGGCTATAAGAATTGGGTTGAAAAGCTCATCAGAAAAAAAAAATGAACATTTGTTTAAAACAGATGGGGATCTAGTACATAAATTTTTCAATGCTGCTAAGATTTTCTTCTGTTCTTTTTTTTTTTTTTTTTTTTTTTTTTTTTTTTTNTTTTTCTTTCTTTTCTTTTTTTTTTTTTTTTTTTTTTTTTTTGAGTAATTGGTGAAGAAATCTCAAATAATGTATTTTATAACATCACCAAAAGCTGAATGCTTGTTTGCTGAGCTTCAACAGTTATTAAATTTCAAAACTGATTTGCAAATTCTTTGCTTAATTTTAATTGACAATAGATTTTTGCAAATGCTGACAACTTGTGATAAACTTGTTTGTATAAAGGATCCATTGTTGATATTTTATGCTGCAAGTTTTCATTTGGAGAAAGAAGAAAAGAAATTCAGTTTTAATTAGCTTCTGAAACTGAAAGTCAAACGTTATCAATAGAAGACATTCAACTATCTATCAAAAAACAAAAGAAATCGAATGCTAATCAATCTAGAAAAGATGAATTTATTATTTTTGTTTGATTGGAATGAAAAGTTTGATGAAAATTTCCTTAAAACAAAAAAAGTCTCAGATAAAAATATTCATTGTTTAGGTTTTTCTCTAATATAAGGGGACTGTGCTCAATGCCCATTCATGAGTGATATGCATTGTCTGTAAAAAAAAAATTATTTCCACTTTTTTAATTTCAAACTCTTACTTATAGAGTTATGCATTTATTTGCAGCAAAGTATTTCTAGTATGAAATTGCAATGCCTGTAAATAAAATTACCTGTTTTGTTTTGGAGTTGTAATGCTACTGGTAGGTTTCCCCTACACAAATTTTTTGTTTCTTACATTTTTATTGTAGAATTTTATCTTCTTTTAATAAGTTAGCAAGGTTTTCAAACGTGATGAACCAATTCTCCATTGAATACACAATGAGTTATTTGATTTTATTAAATAATATCAAGTTCTTTTAAGAAGCCTTCTGTTTAGAGATCTAAAGAACTGGAATCAAAAGTTGTGTTCCCTGAAAATAAAATGGATCCACTATGTGTTGAGCTTACAGAGGCTAATGTAGAAAGTGTTACAATGAAAACTGATTGCCAAAACAAAAGCTTCATCTTCCTTAAAAGGGAAAGAAGTTTAAAAAAAAAAAAAGCTAATAAAAAACTGAATGTGTTTCAAAGAAATTTTTTTTCTGAAGGAATAAAATACTATTTGAACACTGGTTTCTATGTAGTGGGTCCTTATTTAAAGAGCATTTTGTGGTAATATTTATATATTATATTGTGGTGAATTTATATTGTTTATGGTACTTTGTGTATGTTAAAGAATCTATAATACTCATAGTTGTAAGTAATTGCTTAATATTATAAGGAAATTAAAGCTACTTACTGTAAATCCTTAGAATCACATTAATTTATTTTATTTACTTTTATTTTATTGCTATTCTGAATTAGTTAAATGTTATGTAAGTTTTTTTTCTTCATATTAATGGTAGAAATATTGTCATTTACATCACGCTTATTGAAATATTCAAGAATGATATTTGATCGCCAAGAGTGGCACTCCTGTATTTTTCCATGTTCATCCCTGCAAGGATAATTTTATTCTATAATTTTAAAATATTGTAAATAAAGTCTGTATAAAAGTTTATACTGTGCCTGGAATTATATATAATCTAAAAGACAACTGAGTTATTTATGATATGAAGCAAATCTTGTGAATCTTGCATCCCTGAATATTTTTTTATATACTACTTTTCTTGAAAATCAGTATTACTTATTTATTTTTGTCATTTTTAAAGGTTCAGCACATTAACTGTAATAGCTTGGACATATACTCTGTTGTTAGATAATAATCAGTAGGCTCTTTTTAAATCTTTCCATTAAAAGATGTACCTTGCTTAGATATATGTGGATCTCCAGTCATCTTACTTTTTTTCTGCATCAGGCTTAGTTTATAGCATAGTTTGATCAGTTTATCTAGATTTTATTCTGTTAATGGTTAGTATAATGAAAGTAAAAGTACTTAACGGTTTTTTGTGATTAGCCTCTACATTCTACTGATTTTTTAAAAGGTTTAAACTCTGTTTATTCAAAAAATGGGGAAGTTCAAACTAATAATAAATCCTTTAGAACTTTCTACTGTCCACAGTGTTAAATTTTGTCATAAACTTAAAATATATTTCTATACTATATTTTTTATTAATTTAACTGAGTTTAATAGAATAGAAATCAGGACTTTACTAATCTTAAGTAACTAAAGAAAAAATAACAATAAAAAGGACAGAATGTTAAAAGGTTATTAATGGTATTCACTCTGACTATCCTAAATATTCTTCCATTCTTTGCTGATTCCATGAATCAATAATCAATACATAAAACTGCTTTTTATTAAGAAAAATTAAAATAATTTATTTCTGGATTATTAATTCAGTTTAAGTAATTTAAACCTTCTTTAAACCTAGTCTCAAAATTTTACTACATGTTGGATACAGAGCTTTTTTTTTTCCTTTTTAAGCAATCTGTAGAGTTCTATATGCAGGGTATCTGCACACGTGGATAGTCATGAGAAATCATGGAAAGTCATGAATTTCGGTAGTGAACGGAATTTTTCTTGATTTTCACTATTTTTTTTAAAAAAAAATCATGGAAAGTCATGATTTAGGTCGCAGAATATCTAACTTTTAAAATGGAACTTACCCCCCCCCCCCTTATTTCATGGTCTTTCGAATATCTGAATTTGTAACAAAATCATCAGTCAGTCATATTTTATCATGTTTTTTTTTAAAAAATTAAGGTGTTCTTTCAAAAAATGAAAGAAAAAAACATTTCTGGAGCAAATTATCTTTTAAACTTATGTGATTTCAGAATTTTAGTTATTTATTTTATTTTATCAGTTTCAAATTCTGAAGCAGGTCAGTTATTGGCTAATTTTTTTTTAATTCCGAAATGAGAACAGAAAAATCAGGAGTATTTCTTTCCTTTCCGATGAACAAGAAAAGTATCTTTGGAATATAATTCTGCAAAAAAATAAAAAATTTAAAAAAAATTATTTGCTTATGTATTTTTTTCAGCTATTTTATTGCTTCAACTCTTTCTTTACTCAGTTTTGTTAATTTCGAATCTATAAACGTAAAGATACAGAGTATAACAGTTTTGGTTATACCTATCATTTCAATTAATGTTATTATGCTTTTTTAAATTTATTGTTTTTTTGTCGTAGAAAATAGTAACTTTTTTAAGTCATGAAAAATTCTTGGAATTAGTCATGGAAAGTCAGGAATTTGAAAATCTAAAATGTAACAGATACCCTGTATATGCATTTTAAAGGATCATAAATCTGGTCATTAGAAAAACTTTTTTAATCCTATATAACTACAGTATCAAATAATAAAATATAATAAATAAATAGTTAAATGTAAAAGAATTACAAATTTTGGTGTAGTTGAAATCTATTATATTGTCATCCTAACATCAAATTTACTATTTAAATTACTAAGTAATTTTTATGTAGTATTTGTTTTTTTCTAACTATTCTAATTTGATGCATTTAAGTTAAATAATATTTGCAATGATTTTTTTAACACTGCTTATTTTGAATAATTTGGATTTATACATATTTTCCTTTGAGTTTAATTAATTTGAAAATAATTAATTCTTTACATAGGTATCAAACATTTAAATGTCAAGACTCTTTTTATTTTTCCCTAATTATTGTTGAATTAAAAAATTCTACATTCCTTTAATTTTTTGTATAAATGTCAGATATTCTATTGCATATCTATTGTAAATGTATTGCGTTAATGGAAATGTTTTGTGTATCGATTACATATATATCATAAATTAATGTTGCTATAGTGAAAAGTTAAGCTTTAAAATTATCTTATTTTTAATCACATTTTAAAATTGAGATAAAATTGAAAATATTTTTTAACAGGTTTATACTATATTTTTTTCTACTTTTATTTTTCTTTAAAAAAATGCAACATTGCATTTAATGCTACCAGATCATTGCAGAGAACCACAGATATCATACTTGGACGCTTGTGCAAGTTAATTATGGAGTGTTGCTTTGTTTGCTTGATATTTATTATATATAAAACACAAAATGTTTTTCTGTAATTTTCATTTTGTACATTAATCAATTCATTTATTTTAACATAGGCTCTTGCTGAAATACTTGTCTTGTGGGGTAGCATTGGAGCTTGCACTTATGCTTTTTATCCAATTAGTAAAACTGCTGCATATCTTATGTTGCCTTATTGGGCCTGGGTGACATTGGCATCAGCTTTGACTTATAGCATCTGGAGAGATAACAAAGACAAAGAAGATTAAAATATGCATTGATTTTATACTCATACATTTTCATTGTTGAATAGATTATATACGATATTATATATACATTAATTTTTTTAAAGAAAACAATATTGTTTAATGTTATGCATTTATGAGCTATAGGCAGCATGCTATGTATTTTTATATTTCTATATTAAAAAAAATATTTTTTTTCCGAAAATAAAATAATTTTTGGTCATACATGGTTCTGCTGTAATTTTTTTTTCCTAAATAAATAGTTGTTAAAGTTAACAAAAATGGTTAGCATTAGTTTGTTAATGAGTTTTTTTCCCCCGTTAGGAATTCAATTATTGTTTTATTATATTGGATAAATCTGTTCATTCTAACTCTGAGAAAAGACCTTTTGTTATGTAAGCATTAAAATTCACTAAGAATTTTCCAAATGTGTTTACCATTAAATCTTTCGAATAAGTTGTTACAGAATGCTGGTTCAAACATGAGTTCATTATCATTGAACATTTATTTTGTGATTGTTTTCCTCATTCGACATATTTTCTCAAAGGCTAAGAAATTCAATCATTAATATATTCCTGAAAAGGAAAAAAGAAAGTCTCATAAAAATATTAATTGTTTAGGTTTTTATCTAATATAATATGCACAATGCCCATTCATGAGCAATTTGCATTTTCTTTAAAAAAATTACTTTCACTTTATTAATTTCAAAGTGTTACTTATAGAATTAGTTATGCCTTTATTTACAGCTTTACTCACATGAAACTTAGTTTACTTTATTTGCAGCTAAGTATTTCTAGTATAAAACTGCAATATGTGTAAAAAAAAAAAGGTTTGTGTTTTGGAGTTGTAATGCTACTAATGGGTTCCCCTACACAATATTTTTTTCTCAGTGAGCATATCTAGACCAATATTTTTAAAATATGAGACAAGAACACTATGAAGAGACATTTGAGAATTTATAATCATTCATTTTATTTTAATTAATAGATTTTAATTTTGGTTATTTTAACATAAATTAATAATGGTGATACAAAGGCAGTATTTAGAAAAAGTACTAAATTGGAATATTGTATACACTTACTGAATAACAACATTAAAATGAAATTTGTCTTAATAATACAAGAAAATAACTCACTATCTCACAATAATTTTATTTCAAGTTTAGTTAAATGTTATTTTTATTTATAAAGTGAATTTAAAAATATCTTATAAAATATAAAAATAATTTTATAGAAATTCATGTAGTAAGGTAACTTTTTTGAATGAAGGGCTAAGTGCCTAAGTATTTGAATATTTGTTGACTGCAAATATGATCATTTTAATGTAAGCATAAGTGTTTTAGACATCAGTCTACAATCTTTTCATCTGTGAACTTAGTGATTTAGTTTCATTAAGTTTAATTCTTTTAAATAATTATAATTCTTTTTATCAGTTAACTTAGTAATGTATTTATATTATATTATATGTAGTAAATAAAATTAAATTCTTTTAAAAGTTGACTTTAAAAACTGAAGAAAACCAAACTGATACTTTTCAAAATAAAAATATTTCCTTTTTATCAAAAAAAACTGCAAATTAAATATTTTGATTAAAGAAATCGTAAGGGGTCTAAAATGATTTAAAATAAAACAAATGTATTATAGCTCAAAGTAAGATCAAACATTCAGTTAGGATTAAGTTCAATATATTTTAACCTTAGGGCATAAATATTTAGTGAATTGTAAGAGATTTTATGAATGTTAAATGTTAAGACGTTTTTTTTAATTACTGTTTTAAGCTATCAAAAATTGGAAACAAGCTCAAAAAAAATTGTAAACAGTTAAAAAATCATCGTCAAATTTCACGTTTTGTAATAATGTTGTATTAAAAAATCGAGACAAAAATAAAAGAAAGAAAAAAACGTGGAAAATAAATAATGGCAATTTTAAAAAAAGAATGTAAACTAACATGGATGGACGTTGAACTTGACTGAAATCAAGCACGTCAAAGTTACTGATTAAAATGCCTGATTTTTGAAAATTGCAAGTCGCTTAATACCGGATTAAAAATATCAGGATTTTCGAAACCCCGTTTAAAAGCCTAGCAGCAACTGTTGAAAGAATAATTTTTAAAAAAAAATTTCTTAGATTTACAGTGAAATAGGCATGAATAAGTGCACGTGTAAACGCACGATTCAACTGTCGTATTAACACATATTTAAAAAAAATCGGTATTTTCAAAACCTAATGGAAATGCGTAGTTCCGAAATCAAACTATAGAAAAATTAGGATTACTATTACCTATTAGTGATTATTATTTGCACGGTTCGAAATTCGCGAGTCGTTATAATATCGTATTAAAAAGATCTTGATTTTAAGAAAGACGTGGAAATCCGACAGTAACCTCCGAAAACGTGATCGAAAAGTCACGTGGATTAAGCATGAAATGAACTCAAATAAAGAGCTTTTAAAGTGATAACAAAAATTCGAAATTCACGCATAATAATTTTGTCGTTATATATATTTAATTTTGTCGTAATATATGCATGTAATATATTATTTCTGGATAGTGAGCCCCCCTTCCCCTCCGAGGGGCTTACGGGGGTGTTATTTGCGCCACTGCTTTTTCTTAACTCAAAACTGGCATACGTTTTAATTTTAAATTGGAACTAAAGTGTTAAAATTTAAAACGACAAAAGGGTGTATTTTGAGACACACGTATAATCTAGTTGTTCTTCTACTTTTGCCCCTCAAACAAAAATTTGTGTCAAAAGGGGGAAAAAATCACAGCTGTTCAATTACATTATTAAAATTTTAAGAGGCTTTTCTTCTTCCTATAGAATTATGCTTTTGATCCTCGTTTAAGTTTTTAAAAATAAACTTTTGATGGAAATTTACTCTATTTGACTGTATTTTTCGATACGCATAAAATACAAGGTTGCCACCAATCATAATTTGAGATATAAAAGTATGGTAATTAAGATAAATTATTTTTTTCCGACAAAATTTTGCCAATAAAACTCTGCAATGAATAGTTTTTCTTTGGTAGTTAAATAGTATACAGTTGCTTGTTTTTAGATTTATGATAAGTATCTTATTAAAAATCAGAAAATATTGAAAGACTTTTTCATCAGTTTTAACTGTAAAAAGGAAGTGAGTCATTACATAAGCTTTTTCTGCATAAAATTGATTGTTTAAGAAATTTTTTGATTGGGTGAATTCATAACAAAAATAAATAAATAAACTCTAATGATTGAAATAGTTGGTTCTAAAAGAGTTTATAAACCTTGAAGTTTAATCTTGATCTTTTGCATCTTTCTTTAATCATTTAATTCTCCACGGATAAACTATTAAATGGTCAAATTCAAAGATTTTTCTATTAAGAAACAAAATCTCAAGTTATTGAAATCATGGACTGAGTCATTTTAAGGTATTGGGCACATGCCCAGAGCTCCAACCCTTTAAAGGCTCCATTTTTTCAAAAATTTTATTACTATTTTAAGGGGGGGGGATTTGAGTCAAATTTTTTTTAGTTATTTTTTAAGCAATTTTTGTTATAAATAATTTGAGACTTTCTTTGAAAATAATCTTCTATTTTTAATAATCAAATATTTGAAAAAGGACCCAAATAAGCTTATACCCAGATAAATCTGTCCTTAAGTGAAATGATAAACTTTTTGGAATCATCAAAATTTATTGCTTTGAAAGCTCAAAAGCTGAGATGCTAATAATGCGTGAACCTAGGATGTTAATGTTTGATTGGAAAAATATTAAACATTTAGAAACTACGTAGCGAAAATTCGTTAAAAACTGTGCAAGTTATGAGTATTTAAGCTAGTTCTTTTATACACGCATGCACTGAAAATATTTTAAACAGTTTTATTATAATTTTGTAGTGAATCCTATTTGGCAACTAATAAAAAAATTTGATTAGAATGTCCTAAAAAATGTTCAAAAGTTTCAAGTAAATTTTCTTAGTAGTTTTTGTACTTCTCTGAAGAAAGCTCAAAACGATCGTGGGTATTTCACAAATTTTATTCTGTATCATAAGACAAAACTTAATAACAAATGATAATACTTTACAATAATTGTCCGGAAAAAAACTTTGATGGTATAGAGAAAGAAAACATGTTTATATGCCAATCTCATTTTTAATAAATCTTGTTTAATAGTACAAGATGAAATTTGTGGATAACCCCTTATCGTTTTTAGCTTTCTTTTAAAAAGTACGAAAACTACTTAGAAAATTTGTTGAAACTTTTTAAATTTTTAAGATTTTCAGATCAATTTTTTTTTTATTAATTGCCAAATACAATTCATTACAAAATTGTGAAAAAACTTTTTAAAATTTTTTTAGTGCATGCGCAATATAAAAAAACTAGCTTAAACCATTATTCTTACTTTTATGTTCTAGCTTAAACATGTTTGGGTATTAAATTTGTGAAGCAAAAAAATGTATGCATGCATGTTTTAAAAACAATTTTTTGCTTCACAAATTTAATACCCAAATATGAATTTCAATTTAAATCTGTATTATGTTCGAAACAATTTCCATCTGCCTGATTGTACTTTAACTCGGTTGTATAATTTTAAAAAACTACCTTTCAAGTGAAATCTTATCTAAGTATCTTCTAAATCTTATCTAAATATCTTATTTAAATATCTTCTAGACTGAATCTAAAATTACAAAGCAAAGGAGTTGAACATTGATTGCCTTAAACTTATTTAAATATCTAAATCATTTATTTTTTAATTTTGTGTATTTTTTCTGTAAATGTGTTATGCTTTTTCGTTAGATATAAAAAAAGCAATAAATATGAATGCATGTTATGATAAAATACTATTGTATTATTATTTTTCTTAGTATTTTTAATACTGTTCTTTTAAACGAAATCAAATTTCAAAATTTTTCGCTCGTTCTATTTAGTTTAAGTCCATATAGATACAAATAACACTATTCTTGAAATAACTGATCGCGAGATATTAAATGGACAAAGGTATTATGGTCTCAGGGCAAAACTTATTGCGGACCCTTCTTTAAAACACAGTTAGTTTTTATTTCATATTTTGTAAAAATCTTCACAAAAAAAAGTTTTTTTATTTTATTTTTTATATTTGGAATATCTATTTTCCTAAACGTACTAAAACTTTTATTTGTTTTATTAATGTTTATTTCCGATGAAAATTATATTATTAATCACTTTCTCAATACATATAAAAGAACTCTGCATTTTTTTTTTTTTTTTT